TATTATTAAGATTAAATGTTCTAATTTTTCATAATAGTACTAACACTAATGTTGAAAACAAATTAAATTGAATATATTTCAGATTTAGATTTCCTTTAGAATTAACATTAAAGTGCTCGACAACCGAATCGACAATTTAGGGAAGAATCTATCCTTATCTTCATCAGGTATAGCGTCGCTTGCATCGAAGATTATTTTGGCCATCCGTATCGATTGACAAATGATATATCAGCAACCCTTGAGCGTCACCTTCATCAACCATTAAATTGCGGTAAAGAGCATCATTCAATAATTGCGGATGATTTGTTTGAAATTGTTGTTTGACTACAACATCATTACGTCTCTTCCTAACGAGACGATATACATAATTTTCATGTTTCTTAAATATGCGATTTGATATAATATCATCCAAAACTCATGTTCATGTTGAGTTTTGGATGATTTTATTGTTTTCCATAAATATCCAACAATTTTTGAAGATAACGTTACTTTTCTCGTTCTTTCAATCATACCATCTCAATTTAGCAGAAATATTCTTTTGGAAACCTCTTTTCGAAACATGTAAATGTTTTTTTTTAGTAAAGAGATAATGTTATTTCTAGTTTTTGATTATTTCTATTGTGAATGTTTTTAATTTTGAAATAGAAGTTAAAATTGCCTCAAAAAAGGGGGTATTTGTGTTTAGAAGCACTTAAGCCCAATTCTTATACCATTGGAAGCATAAAATGCTATATTCACAACCACGTGATATGACCCACTGAGTCTTATTGTGTTACCATTGGACCATTATAAAGATTCGATTATCAAAAAACTTTTTTTTTTAAATCTCACACGTTCAATTTCAAGCCTTCAAGCCCTCATTTTATTTTACCCTTTTTGAATTTCTTTCAACTTTTTCAACTCTTTTTTAACTTTTAATATAAATATATCGTAGCTATAAAGAAGTGCTGCTATAAAGTAAGTTTTCATTTAATTTCATGCTGAATATTTAATACAAACGGTATATAATTGGTTTAGAAGAGTACTTGTTTCTTGGTGGATTATTCTCTTGACTTGCTTGTAAAATTCTCTGCGTCCATTGTTCACTTTTAAGTGAAGTACTATTCTACTTATGATATACTCGTAAAAATCAAAAACTATTTTCACTTATTTGCGAAAAATATTTATTTCTAACCAAATTTATTTTTATTTTATTATTTATTTATTTTTTTTTTTTAAAAGAATTAATTATAAGGTTATGGTCTACGTCAAGAACATGACTGCGGTAGATTGCAAAGCTTTGCAAATTTTAAAAGTAAAAGCGCCCAATACAGGGCGCAAATTAATCAAAAGCGCCTAATACGAAGTATTATGGCAGTTCAGAAGAGGTTGAGTCTCCTATACTCAACATGGATTTTGATTTGCGGGTGTGCCTCCACCCGTAAATACGCGTAAAGAAAACGAGGAGGAGAAGGACAAAAAGAGGCTCAAGAACAAGGAACCGATCCGAAAAGTAAACAGTCCGATGTTAAACCAAATCGGACCGAGGGTTCCAAGAGAATGAAGAGCAACTTGCGCATTGATATGGTGGGTTTTAATTTATTGCTTGAAATTATTATATTATTAATATGAATGCTTGTCTAACATTGTAGTGACATTTCTCTTTTTTCACAGACT